GCATTAAGGCGTTTGGAAAGGTAGATTCAACCATGGAACTCAAATAAACGAATGGTTCCACCGACCCTCGATTGTATTTGTATTGCCTTTTCATGACTTACTTTTCTGCATTTTCACACACGGTCAATCAATAATGAGCGTAAATTATCCATTCAAGAAGGGGTGAAAGATTTATTAAAATGGAGGAAACTTTATTTGTCTGGGGAACAAAAAGGGTAAATGGTACTCCCAGATAACTTTTAGCATTGAGTCAACAACCGCATTGGCTTCATCAATCCAAATCACAGGTTTAGTAACAATATAAAGCATAACATTCAAAGTATAAGACCCAAGGCAATAAAATCTTAAAGTACCACTAAAACGGATGTAAAACTTTACCAAAACTCTTTCCTCGCGACTGTGTCGCAGCAGCACCTTGGCGAACGTCCTCAGCATGGGAGACAGAGATTACGGAAACATTGAGAATACTAAAACAGAGGATAGACTTTCAGTTATCTGCAATAATTTTAACAGACGACTACCGCAAATTTGTAGTACTGTATGGACAAATATGATGAAGAAAACCCCCAAAACCAGTCATCAAGTGGTCTGATACATTATTCTCCAATGTTATTGAAATTATTTAGAAACATGGTCTTGCGTAAATAGACGAGAGGGGATTAGTGAAGAGAATTAAAGCAGGAACCCAGTCTTATTGATCAGGTTTTATTCTTCCTAGACAACAATAAATAGAACAAAGACAATAGTCAACCTTTTTCCCCATTAATCGGCCATTAGTACTAAATTTACTTATAAAAAAAAACCTTGGGGAAAATCGAAGTAATTTAGTTACTTTGAAATTATAAGCAGGAAACTAAGTAGGCATACTCTAGCTAAAGACTGTCTTCAGACTTTCAGACTAGAACCATGTTCCGAAAAATCATAAGAAATATCCAAGTCCCAGGCCTTAGCAAAAACAATCCAATGGGGACCTATGGTCCGAGGGGGAAGAGGTGGGTGTATTAAATAATATTAAAAAGAGAGCTGGAATTTTATTTAATTTAAGACACTGTGTCCCCAAGGAGACATTCAGTTAGTTATGCTTTATAACTCTTTATTAAACCTAATTTGATATATATATACTGTCTCTTATACACATCTAGATGTGTATAAGAGACAGGGAACTAGTAGTTTAAAAAATACGATTAGCTAAAACTATTATTGTGTAGTGTGTGCACATATTCATATTGACACCCTGTCCAGAAGCCTGTCCAGAACCCTCTTCAAGATCAATTGCCAATCTCCTCTCATCTAAAATACAATAAACTGGCTCATTGCAGCACAGTTGGCAGTAATTATTTGCTTAAAAAGTCAGAGCTCAGAGGTTGCTAGCCCACTATCAACCTCCTAAGGTAGTTAGCAACTGGCTGGGGATCTGGTATTACATATAAAATATTTCAAGTAGGCCCTATGCCAACATAGTCAAGTTCACTACTATCCTGGATATTTTGTTCATAAAATATTTGAGATGAATATCAAAGTTCAAATTACTTTTATGAATTTCGGAAATTCCTGTATCACTGGTCTGAAATATTTCCATGCATGTAATAACAATAATTTAGAATTTGTAGCGCAAAATGTATAAGCTTTGAAAGGGAAAATAAAGGAGCAAAAATAGTTAGTAATTTCAGCCATTTTTAATAAGATATATTTTGGTGTTTATTTTTTTTTTCATAATACATTCATAATAAATGTACTTTTAATCATATTTAATTATTGGTTATGTATTATACATAGGCTTATTATTTTGTGAAATAGAACTCTTGCTTTGGGGCCTATCACAAATCATCTATTAGAAATATGTATTTCGGTGAATAGTAAATCCTTCTGAAGACGGATAGAGACTGAAGGATGAAAGACGGATGGTGACATAAAATATTAATTTCAAATATATTAAAGATTGTTGACAATTATTTCCTTTGTCACTGATAAAAATCAGTTTGTTTATAGTAAAATTTCATCTACAACAGAAAGCCGACAAATAGTAATATGGAACTGATGTGAAGTACCTTCCGACACATGATACACACATGATATAAAAAACAGACGAGATCATGAACTCTTCAGATTTGAGGTTAATGACCACATTTAGACTGTAATTTCACCTCGAAAAAAAAAAATTAATAATGCATCCTTTTTATATTATAATGAAAAAAATGAGAGGGTTTTAATGAGCAGTGTTTCCAGAAATTAATGGAAGAGAAGTATGATTATCAATTCCATTGTTCAATGGAACCAATGTGAGTCATCTCAAGTCCCCAAGGCAAAAAACATTTTAGGACTGGAACTTTCTTTGCAAAGCTTTCAAACACATCCAGTGAATACTGTTAGATAATAATTGAGCAAATATAATTATTCAATTTTTGTTAGTATGGGAGAAAATATGGAAGTTACCTAAATCAGATAGGATCGTAGAGATATAATAATACTAGAGCGCTAACTGCAATGTATTCGATGTTCGAAATAAGCAGGGGTGTGTGTGTGTGTACCATCCAAGATGGCTGCCCATAGATTTAGCCAATCAAATTTTGCCTAAGCACCATCATTTGCAGTTGCGCCCTCAACTTACACAGACAGTTCAGTACAGCTAGTTACCCGTATGCTTGAAACTCGAGCGTTGCGGTGTATGGGTGTAATGCACAAGATTTTAATTTTCATTCCTTGGTCCTTTATTTTTGAATAATATGCTCCACTTGGCCTCGTTTTGCCTACGATAGTTTAATAATTTGTTATTACCATTACTCATTATCATTAATGAAATAATAGTCAATCAGAGGGCTTATTTATGGTAATAATATGTATACTAAGCCTGAGGTGGCGCTTTACTACGGCGGCCATCTTGGATGGTACACATACATAACTCTGCATTGCTTCGACATCTTGTCAGCACTCTAGTTGTTTAATAGCTCTATGGATAGGATAGAATAGAAATCTTTCTTTTCTCTGGATACACGATGAATGTGGGGACATTGTTCTTCTTTGGTGTCTAGATATCAAACACTGAAATTACAAATACAAACAAACAAATTAAATAAAAATAAAAATTATATGATTTTTGAAAGATTTTAACAATAGAAAGAAAGTTCTAATTTAATTTATGAAGCGGTTGGCGGATTGGTTGTGGCTTGGACTCCCAACCTCGAGGTCGGTGGTTCGAAACTCTCACTGTGCAAATCGCTTGTGTCCTTGGGCAAGGCACTTTATCTACGGTTGCCTCTCTCCACTCAGGAGTACAAGTGGGTACCTGGTAGGTTCCAACACAACTGCGCTGATTACTAGCTGCAATATTATAGAATAATAATATAATTTAACTTAATAATTTAATTTGGTGTTCAATGTGTTCCATACGTGTTTGATACAATGACCGGGGTAGTAATGTGAAGCGCTTAGAGGCTTTGTAAAGGCATTAAGTGCTATAAGAACGACATATTATTATAAGAAAAGTATCCTATAACAATTAATTCATCATTAAGTTGCGGCAACCAAACAACAATAGGAAAAGATTAACTGTCCTATGCAAAGGTTGTTAATGAATAATGGCCATCTACTGTGTTTGATCAGAGTTCACCTAGCTTGTATCACTCTCTCCCTTCACCTTAATTATGGAGTAGGCCTAGAATTAAAGGCAATGACTTACTCCAGGGGCAGATTTAGGGGGGCCGGGCCATGCCGGGTTGGAAAGTGAAAAAAAAAAAAAAAAAAAAATTGATCGCCTAAAATGCCTCAAAGGTTATTTTTGCACCCCCTAGGATAGTGTTGCCTCAATCAGCCCCATTTTCAGCCACCATTTCCGTACTTTTTTGACATCTCTGGATCCGCCCCTGTACTCTACCTGTTCAGTCACAAAATGTATGGATGTATTGAAATATTTCTGAAATGAAGGTATGAACTAGGCAATGGTATTTTATTGTATTTGCAAATTGTATCAAAAATACAAGCATAGTTTGCAATTAAAACAATATTTTGCAATTGACTTATTAAATAGGAATGAATATGAATGCAAATACAGGTCTTTGGATGGGGATGTTTGAGAATTTAGAACATGTTGAAGTTCATATACTGTCATTTAAAGCATATGCTATGTATTTTGAAAACTGTGTTCAAAGGTGTGATAATAAATAACAATCATGACTTGATGCAATATACACTTCTCCACATTGCATACAAGTTGTGCTAATAGTAATTAATGAAGTTTAATGACCCTGAGAATGAATTAAATTCAGGTTATGTAGGCCGATCTTAAATGCCAAGTTAGTGCTGTAGAAGCAAGTTACTGTATGCTTGTATCTTTGCATCTATATAAACTATATAAAACCACACATTTTCAAATATTTTTTTGTAAGGATTACAATTATATTTACTTGTTTACTTGTATCCCAAGAGAGTCTTCTTCAGTCTGATCCTCCTGGGTATAGAGGCCAAGCAAAACGATGCTTATAGGCCCCTCAAAAAAACAATATATTAAAATTTAACATAGGGCGCAAATTTGAGCGGATGGTCAGCCAAACATACTTCGATCGCAGATTTAAATGAATTAATAGAACTAGAGTTAACATTTTTTAATTGTAACATATACAATTTTAAAAGATGTTTACAGGTAATCATGAAAACAGAAACACCAATCACATTAAATATAACATTAAACTTAATGATTAGATAAAACCTCCACCAAAATCAAATATAAAGGTAAAGAAAATCAAAATTATATTTATTAAAAAAATTATATTTATTAAAAATTTATTGTTTTCTTTAACTATTAACAGAATATCTTATTAGCCTTTGAGTTTGGTTGACCCTAAATTTAATTTTTGGAGTTTATTTTACATATACATTAAAATCTCTAAATATTAAGTGATTGATAAGATGTTATGGACGTTGGTTACATATACTCTGAAAAAAAAAAGTATATGGATACAGTATGAGATAAAGACAGCTAGTAAAGCATAAACAAAATTGGATTCTGCAGCTACTCTTGTATGACCTAATGCAGTCCATTCTGACAGATGATCACTTTCTAACAGACGAGTCTAATAAGCGTTAGTAAGGCACTTCAAGCTCTACAGCTTCTGTACAGCAAACTGCTCATTCATGTTTGGATGTCACTGTCACTTCAATTCTAACATCTAGAAAAAGAGTAAAACTCTCTTATATCAGAATAGGCATATCTAAAATATTCAATTACATGCAGAGCGCCCTCTACAAATAATAAATGTTTCATCACTCACTCAGATAGTGTTTAAGGGGAGTTTTTAACAAATTTGATGGCAATATTCCTAGAATGAATCCAGGGTTGAAGCTATAGAAAATTAAGGGTGGGTGATAAACATTTTAAGGGTTGGTGGGTGATAAAATTAGTAAACTCTAAATAATAAGAGTGGATTTTAAGGATGGAAAAGTGTGATAATAATGGTGGGTGGAAGGCCATGAAATTACTGAGCTTTAGACTCCAGTGGGTGGAAAACCTCAAGGCTGGGTGGCCTGCCTGCCTACCATAACTACATCCCTGTGAGTCTGATGCTCTTAAAACCAAACCTTTGAGGTTTGGTTTACAGGTCAATTTCAGTTATGAACTGAACCAAGAACCCTGTGTAGCCAAAAAACCACAAAAATCAATAAATTATAAAAAACACATTCAGGCTAAGAAGTACACACTCCAAGTATTGAAATGCACACCATCGTGTTGGGATTCAATATTTCAACATTAAATATGTCATCATCAGGAATCACATTCACTATACAAGCGATGATACTGCATGTGTAAGTCAGGCACAACTTCAATATAGTTGTGGACTATAAAAAAACAAATATATCGAAGACAGCAATGAGGATTCTATAGCCTTGTGGCTGATTCATTAGATCAACATCAGTTTCAAACTCAGACACATCTCTTATTGCTTTGGGGCAAATTTGCTCTTAAGGGAAATGTAGACTTTGGAATATTTATTTAGTATATTGAAAGAATGGTATACATTTGACAGAATCTCTTACCTATCAGGTAATGCACAAACATGTTAAGCTATATACTTTCTTGAAGATTTTGTCTTTCTCAGATGACAATGTCATCATTTTAAATTTCTCTTCTAGTGTAAAATACAAAAAAATTGTACAGTATAACAAATGATCACCAACATTATTCAATGTGGTACTTATGCGAGGAGTATGAGGGATGAAACCCCCCAGAAATATTTGCACCACCTCCCAGAAATGAATGTTTTTTGAAGCAAAAAAATCACGTTCAATTATAAAAAAATGTTGACCCTGAGACAGGGGTTGAAATATCCCCTTATTTCCCCAGTAGCACTCTTCAATATTATATTGCACTAAAACCATTAATTATTAAAATCATTATATAACATTATTTATTATGCAATAAACATACACATCATGTTACTTGTTACTTTTTGACTAAGTTTCACAAAATCAAAAATGAAAATTTCATAAAATATTATTTTATAATACCTTAAATTTAATAACAACAAAATTAAAGTAAAATAATTATTCACTAAATATAAGTATGGAAGGAAATAGGATACACTGGTTATGATACTGTTTGTAAACTCATTATACTACCTTTTTAATGGCATGTAATTCACAAGAAAATACTAAAATTACGTTTATTATTGAGCTGGCTAACAATTCAATTCATTCAATTATATAAATCCTTAATATCAATTAGCTAAATCTTAAATAAAGAGATTGACAATGTGTAAATTGAGACAAAGAATAGTCGCCAATGAACTTTCTAAGAAAATGGGTCATTATAATGTTGGTCACCTGCTGACTATCTCATTACATCTTTCACAAAAGGTTTGTTAAAATACTCACACTGTTTAACAAAGGCATTGTCTTTCATCTTAATAATTGTGGAAGCTGTAGATGCAGCAGTTGCAATTCGTACTCTCAATCTTGAAGTCTGGGGTTCAAATCCTCACTGTTTGCTTGTCTTGGTCAAGTCTCTCACACCTAGCAGTAGTGGGTGCCTGATCACTGCTGCAAAATTATGGCAGGATCAATAGGCGTTTGATAAAATGACTGGTTATTAATGTGATAAGCTCCATACTGTAGGTCATAACAATGCATGTTCATTACTTAATCAAATTATTGTAAGTCCACCATTATTAATAAAAGCTGAATTGGTTTGCAGACGATTAGGTTGATTGGATACTAATATTAATTTGCTTATTACTGTATTTATTTAAATTAAAATATTTATGATAAAGATTCTATTGCTGAATTGTTGATTTCTGTTCAGCATCATGATGATTTCATGCATAGTATCCTGCTGTTCATTTGTGTAAAAAAAATGATCTACACCACTAGATCAATAGCAATGTAAATCTCTACCCGAGGCAAGATCATTGCTCCTCATCTGTTTTTTGGCAGGCAGTGGGATGGTCGTGTTCAGTAGACAGATCTGATATGGTTATTATTATAGGAACTGTCGTTTCTTTGCCTACTCCTAAAATTATTATACTTGAAAGTTTTTGTGGAGGAAATGAATATATTATTATTATTATTATTATTATTATTATTATTATTATTATTATTATTATTATATTTATCATTATTGATAAGATTATTTATATTAAGACACATGATGTTTGTAACAGCAGCCAGGTCACTGCTTCATTCCCATCCCATAATAGTAAGATCTACATGTCATAGTGTTTGTTTTAAATGTGATTAACGTTTCTAGAATAATACGGTCCCATCTGTTAGAACAATTTCTTATTAAATATTCTGCATTTTATTCCTTAAAAAAATTCATGTAAAAAAAATTAAAGAGCCTCTATTAATAATAACACAAATGCCATCTGTCATAATTTTGTTGATAACCTAGAAGTATGAACTTTATATAAATTTATAAAAATAAAAAATGAAATAAATATAATCACTTAAAATCATTCAATCATGAATATACAGTACAAATTAAAGTAAAATATGGGTAAAAGGTCAAAACATATTCCCTACATCTTATTATTGACATTCCATGACAAGCTGATACATCACACACTTTCTGATTTATCTCTTCCAAGCTCTAGCTCTTCTCCAATTCAGGATCTCATAATTTAAAGCCTTCCTACTGATCCTACATAGAGGTGAAATGCATAAATCATGGCAATTATAATTATAACATTAATTAAAAACCCTGTTATTAGGGCTAAAGCTTATGTTAAATACCTCATTTTTATGCCACTCTTAAGTTCCTACCATCATTCTGTAACCTATAGCTCGTATTTTACTGTGTTTGGTCAATCATGATTACCAGTGACAGGTATTAATCAAGCCAAATATCAGAAAAATCCAGCAGCAGAAAAACAAATTACACATAACTCTGGAAATAGACGCTGGCTTAGGCTTACCACATTAATGTTAATGAACATTGTCTGTAGTCATTTTCTAACAATAAAAATTATTTAGAATGTTCTTCATAAGAAATCAAATTGATTTTATAAAACAATAATTGTAACTTAATAACTAATGATTGAGAGAATTCAGAGTGTTGAAGGGTTTAAAATTACTGATAAAAATATTAATCATAATGATAATTATTAATAATAAAAGCATAAATTTTATCAGAATTATAAATATTAAATACTAATAGTAATAGTACAATATTAATAGTAATGCAAATAAAGATTTAGCTATTTCCATGATATGGTCATTGGCAGTAACAGGATTTGCCTGACGGTTGGCAAGCATTATTAGGTCCCACATTCAATAGAATGTTTGTCTTTGGACCGATAAGTCATGACAGATGGAGGTGGCGGTGGGGAGGGGTAGCCTGTCTATAATTTTCTAAAATAAACCAATCTATTTTTTAGAATAATTTTTTCACATGGTCCCTTAATGGAGTGCCTATTTTTAGAACCTTTGGTTAAGGTCCTTTAATATAGATTTAGTTCAAAATAATTATCATATAATAATGCTTGTTATAAAGTAAAGTAAATCTCCTGATAAATAATTATATAATAATTTAAGTACAGGTAAGTAATAAATAATAGCATTGATAAATATCATGTTTTTCCAAATTTAGTAAATGTTATTGGGTCCACGCAAGGCGCTGACCCCCAGAGCCTCAATGCTGTTCTTGTTCTTGTTCGTGTTCTTGCTTCCAGAAATTTAAAAGTGTCCAGCATCATTTTTTTAAGTTGGACTCCAGGGTTCTCCCTACACCTACAAAACAGGGGTTTCAGCAAGGACTGTACATTACTACCAATACCACTAATTGGCTACTAATAAACGAGCGCATCTCATTCAAGATTTTACTCCTCACATACAAGGCTCTCAACCATAATGCTCCACAATACATTGTTCAACTATTGAAGTCTCATTCTGCAACATGTTCTTGGTCTCTGAGATGAACCACTGACACGTCTATACTATCAGCACCCGCATCACATCTCAAGACCTACAGTATTCTCTGTAGCTGCCTCAAAGTTGTGGAATTCATTACCGGCTGATCTTCGTGAGGCACCTTAACTCCTTGTATTTAAAAAGAATTTGAAGGCGTATCTCTTCAATCTTTGTTAACTTTCTCATGGTTAATAATTTTCATTTATTTGTTAATCTCTGTAGTTAAATTTCTGTCATTAAGAAATTTTTTTTAATTCAATTTTAAGATATTTTAAATTTGTACAAATCAATATTCGAAATAATAATTTGTTTTGTACAAATAAACATTCTAATAATATAACAATTTCTATCTTATTAGCTCTTCCAAAAACCCCAATATAATAACTTGTCCCTGTACCGTATTTAAACGTGAAGGAATGCGTGGAGGGTGAGTGGTCGCTCTTGTATAACTTGTTTTTAAATCTGTCCAAGTGTAAACATAGTTACAGTGGCTCATAAGAATCATGGCAAAAATTTCAAAACATTGCGACAAAACTTTTGAAATGTTTTAAATGTTTTGAAGGTTTTGCTGTGACACTTATGGGCCACCGTAACATCACAACACAGCAGAGTATGTTGAGTATGTTCTTAGGTGGCTCCAAATATAAATTTATTACCAGTTTATTATCACATAAAAGAAGCAGCAATGCCAGCAAGTTGTTTTATTTTTTGATTTCTTGCTCTTTAACCCAGAGAAAAAGTTGGTGAAAATTAAGCAAGACACTATTTCTAGAATGAACTACTAATAATACAACAATATTCATATAACTAGTTCCTACTAACATAGCAAAAATCATTAACTTTTATATTTTCTTAAAACATTTCTATCAAATTTCATCAAAGCATATGAAAAAAACATACAACATACTTCAATAAATCATTTCAGGAGTCAAAATTCCCTCATAATAAATTCATAGACGTGCAGAAACTGATGGAATATATATTTGATTTTTACGACAACTAATAATCTTTTATTAATATGAATGCATCAAATCAGCTACTTAGCTGTCCATAGCTGTCATCTTTGTTGCTTGCAAGTGAATGTTTTTTTAAACATCAAATATCTCTCTGGATGGGCAAATGTAAAGGTTATCTGTCTATCCAGCTGCAGGGTAGGAGAATGAATGAAAATTTCAGTATCTAGGGGTATAAGACAGGGTCAATGCAAGTTCATCAACTAATGGTATGAATGCCAGTTTCATCTGTCTTTATTTAGGGGTTAGAGAAGATGACAATTTCTGTCAGTATCCAACAGTGGGGAAGGAGGGAGAATGGCAATTTTATCTGTCTATATTCAAGTGTAGGGGAAATGGTAATGTCACCTGCATACTATATCAAGCAGTTAAAGATGAGAATGTCAAGCTAATCAGTATATTATTAAATCAAGAGGTTTACTTACATGGCAGAACAAAATGAAGGTAGCCTACTTTTGTCATCCGTAAATGTTATCCTATAGCCAGTAGACTTCACGCGCCATCGTAGCCAATTGCAAAGTAGACATAATTTTTGCACTTTCAACAGATGGTACCCTATAAGATAACAATTACAGTTACAAATTAATTAACATAATGATAATATTAATTATAATATTATAATAATAATAAGATGTAAAGCCAGAACAAAAAATGCTTTCCACTCCCTAGACACCTGGGCTAAACGGGCTTAGACATTAATTGTCGCGGAGCAGACTGGATCTGTCCAAATGTACACTGGCCACACCAATCACCAGTCACATCCAGGAATTTGGTGCTCCTACCCTGACTGATGGAATCTATCCAACATGGAGAGGAAAATAAATGAATAGAATGATGGAATCTATCTAACAAAAAGAGGAAAATAAATTAACAAACTGGTGATTATGAGGTGAACGAATGTAAATTGACTTGCCACATTAAGTATTTCTATTAGCTACCATTATTACCATGGGGACTGAAATATGAATATCTATTTCTGCTGGCTACCATAGTAAGTTCAATTATTTTGAGTATGGCTAAAATAACACAGTAGTTAGAATAGAAGTAATCAAGACTGTACCATTTCAGACACCCAGTGCTGCTAAGCTTCAGGCATTCATTCTAAATTCTTCTGCGATGATATTACTAAACAAATTTAGTGAGGAAGAACATCTAGAAAATTGGAATTCATTCCTCACACACAAATTTTTTAATTTAATAATTTTTGAAAGTATACATGAACAAAACTTTTTAAATGGATCAAAAACATAACAAAAAAGATAATTAAAGAATAGACTTAGTGCAAGAAAAAATTGCTTCATCTTGATAAAACAGTTAATAATGATAATTGCAGTTACACAAAACTGATTTCAGCAGACTGAAAATGTAACTACTGTATAACCTGCCTAGGAAATTGTGTGGTTTTTATTTCTTCCTTTTAAACATTTGCTGGATATAAGTTGCTCATCATGAAATGTTCTTATCTTCTTTCATATTTGTCCAAATTATTTTCTACACAAACAAAACAGATTTTGTGTTAGTCTCTTGATGATTTATGCTTTAACACACCATACTTTCACTACAACCACTGCAAGACTATAATTTAAGTGCACCCCACAAATTTTCACTAGAAAAATTGTATATTCACAACTGCAATTCCAAGAAGAATACTGGATTTATTATTAGTGTATAGTTTTAGGCGTAGTTCAGACAAGGTGGATATACCCGGCTCAACTCACCAGGTTTATCCACCTGCCAGTCTGAACTAGGTGGCTTATCTCAAGCCGGGCTGTGTTCCTATAGTAACTAGGCCTGGCGCTTCACCGTGTTTGACCAATCAGCATTCAATTACGTACGCTGTGAGCAAGCGTATATTTCGCGAGCTATGTTTTGAAACACGTTTCCTGGTTACGGTTCATTATTATGCAAATTCTCGACTGGCTAAACCCACCAGTCTGAACGCCAGGCAAAGTTAAGCCGGGCTTGACGTTGAGCCAGGCTTAACTCAAGCCTGGCTTATCTCCAAGTCTTAACGTAGCCTCTGTATATTAATCAAATTTAATATTTGCATGCCACCTGTGATCTACTTCAAACTGAGGCAATGACCAGTATTGGTTAGACATCTACAATCCAATTTAGCATTGATTTTAGTTGGGATTTCACTAAAAAATTATGATTCAGTTTGTACAATTCGCTAATGTCTACAAACAAAAAAATTCACTAAATGACCATATGCTCATACTGATAACCTTATCTGCCAATATTATCTGACCGACGTCAGACGAAAAATTACACCTTCTCAACATAAGATCCTGAAAAATACAGAATATCATCATCTTTTCTTCCAACAATCAGAGGAGATTCTAGTGTACCAAGTAAGATTCTGAGGTAGTGATTAACACATGATCCATGGAAAATGGACATCCACATCATCGTGTTGAGATACCTACTGTAGGTCAAAGACCAGCATCAAACACTTTTATATACCCCTGACAAACCATCTTTAAAACTCTCTTTCTCCTTATACCCTCAATTCCCATATTGTATCTCTTTCATATCTCATGACATTGACAGTTTAGAAACTGCTTTTCTCATGGGCCAGTTTAAATCATATTACTTTATTTATTTTTTTAGTGTATTTTGGTAGTCTTGAGCTTTACATCCACGTTTATGCACAAAGTACATATCTACAGTCCCATCTCACATATTCTGTATCTGTACAAAATATCCCATTCTGTCTCCCATCAGCATCCTCATCGTAATATCATTATTTTTTCTCATTTTCATCCTAAACTGAGAGATGACCTCTTGAACATAAATAAGTCGAAGTAGTCAGAGGAGGCAAAAAAGAACCGACAAACACTATCATCTCATTTTGTTTGGCTGTGGCACAAACATCTATACCATCTTGTGTTCATTACAGCAATAAATTAGACACATAAATATGTTTGCTCTTCTCTATATCTAGCTCGTTTAACCCACTAAGTCTCTTTGTGAGATGTGGCTTCTAAAATATTGCTCAGTTCCACAGAATTTTATTGAGGCAGTCATGTAGGTATGCCGACCTGTGGTTTGACCAGGGGTGACCTCAAAGTTGCCACTAAGCCATGTTTCTACTGTTCCCATTTTTTTTCCCTCAACATACAACCCTTCGATTTTTTGGAAAGGCACCTTACAAATGCCAAGTATTTTTTGTTTTATGACTGGCTCAATGCTGTAAATTCATGTACTGTAGTGTTGGTCAGAAGAGATAACTACCTTGTAACAAGTAACTTTACACTTGGTTGCCGGGACAATGACTGAATATAACAGTAGATAATGAATCCTACAAATGACCCTGATAAAATAAGATTCAATTTCATCAAAAAAATAATAATTAAGATGACAGTGGAGGCAACGTGTATGTTGACAACACCAACGATGAAGAAAATGATAGGATTATGGTGTAATGCCAGACTTCTCAAGTACTACAGAACTTCCATAGTTAGGCCTATTTTCTACGGAAATTTTGCCTAACTACAAATGTACGGAAATAGACAAAAATACTACGGATTTTATTCATCATTGGCCTAGACCCATAAATAAATAGGTTTAAAGTTCAAAACTATGATCTTTGGTTGCATTGTCCCTAGACAACTCATACTTGTCGGATTACTAATAAATTGTTGTGAAAACTAAGGAAAAGTGGCCCAAAAATCTTCACCTTGTCCTGTTCATTTGAAATTCCATAACGAATTACAGACAATCAGGCCCGAATACGATCTTGCCAAGGATGATCAGGCCCATTTTCAAAATAATTATAACTCCATGCTTATATCTATGCACAGGCATATTATTAGGTGGTTCTACGGAAATTTTTCATATACTACAGAAATGCATTTAACAAACTTGCAAACTTGTACTGTGACATAATAAAGACTTGTACAATATTTTCATAATTGTATACAATGCAATGCAAAATAACCGTAAAAAAAGACAGCAAACGTGACGAGTATATCACTTCCGGAAAATTTGCATAGTTGCTTCTAAGCTTTGAACTACTTTAGAAGTAAATAGAACATTATTCCCCAGCTAATTCATCATGTGGACACTCGTTGTAAGTAACATGTGTAAAATTTGCCGGCTGTCGTAACTTATATATAGCATATATATATATATATAGCATAGTTCTTACAAGGTTTGTGGTTTATATAAATCTAGTTTTGAATCAAACTCTGACTTACTTTTCGAAAGTAGAGAAAGCAGTTTGATGACCTGAATTCTCAATTGATCGATTTATATTTTAGCCATAAAGATGTCACAAGGATATTAAATACAATAAATTCTAGCATGCATTATGCTGCGATAACACCTAGATTACATCAGCAGAGATTGTAGGCCACAAGCAGAGGCTAATTGTTACTCACATCAGAAACTGGAATTCATAGCTTACGGTATGAGGATCCTAATAGGTCGAAGTGCATTATTCAGTTGAGGGGAAGGTTTATTATGTGTAATAAATTTCAAATAGCAATATCTTTTTTGCTATATTTTAAAATTAAACAGTTCTTTTATGATGTAACTATATTTATATAAAGGTAAAGGTAGTCATTGTGCTGAACTGCGTACGGACATTGTCCATGACTACTGTAGCAGCAGTAGAGAGGCGCTTAGTTCACATCTTTCCACAAAGACGGGCTAAAATGAATCATAGCATTAGGCCCTATACAAGTACAGTACAGTACAAAAAATTTAATTGTTTTTCTGAACTGGGAATAGTTAGTGGCACACTTGCCTTACCGCTCAGCCACTCGACTCACCATATCACCATAGCATTAGGCTAACCCCTACTCTTCCAAAAGATGAAACAAGTTCTTTAAGTGCACACGAGCCAGATGTACACACTGGATCTCCGTTTTCAAGTCCTTATCCGAGAAGACTTGGTCCTACCAACCGAACTCTGGGCAAGGAGAGGCTCAAACCAGCGCCGATGTTAAGATTCATGATTCCACTTATTGTCATATACATAGTATAGCCCCTATACAAGTACAATACATTGTTTTCATGAGATGGGAATAGTTAGTGGCGGCACCCTTGTCTTAACGCTCAGCCACCCAACTCGCCATATAAAAAAGATTCCCCATATTTATGTTAATTTTAGCATTTTAACATTAGTGAATATTAAATTAAATTAATATATAATAAAAAGTCACATTTAAAACCATTTCGACTCATCATCTGCTTTGAAATTAATATAACATTATTTTTTGGAGAAAGCATAATAGCAATGAACTACAGTACCTCTATTTGTCAGAAACTGATATAAAAGATTCCATTACAATATCATGGAGACAATATGATAGTAATACTGACTTTCATTTTGTGACACTCTTGAACATGTGATTCGACTGCATGATGTATGCATTATCATTAGAATGAAGAGTAGCAAACAAAGCATGTCATATGTTGCACATTAAGAGACAATTAAAGACAGACATCAGATCCTAAAAATAACAGAATCTTCTGTTAATCACAGCTCCTGTATCATTACTCCATTTCCCACAATTCCATGTTCTTCGTCATCTTCTTACCATGTT